TTTTTTTTTATGGTTTTGGTTAAACTGAATGGCGTGTTAAGAGCTTTTTCGTTACATTGTTATTGATATCTATCTCTGAAACGCAATGGTGTGTGTTTAAGTTGTGTTGTAACTGCACCGTCATTATGATGCAGAAGATCTTACTGTAAATGGTCATTTGTAATGTTTAGTGTAGCTAAGGCTCAAAACACGTATTTGAGCCTTTAATATTAATATACACGTATATTAGTAGGTGATGGCAGACCTTGGACTGAAGGAGTGGGACAGAGTGCTGCTGATATGGACTCAGCCATCATCTCCCACTGCACTGAAGGAGTTTGCTGAAAGCATTGGCGCTGCTGTTGGTAACCAGAGTCTGGTATCTTTGGAGAACATGGAGAGACTACAACTTTGTAAGTACGAAGGCATATGCGACGCCTCTATTACTTTCAAGTCTCAATCTAAGTGAAAGAATTTAAGGAATGAATCATTCACCCACAAAATCTGTCTGTTTTAGCTTCTCACGCAGCTTCAAGTTATGACTGGGTTCTCTCAGGCCTGCTGACCGACAGCTCGCCAATCCACAGTTCAGAAATGTTGGCTGAGATGGCCAGAGTAATGAAACCTGGTGGCAAACTTGTGCTAGAAGAGCCGGTAACAGGTATCTTACTCAGAACGGCACTGTCTGTACAACATTCTCAAGTGAAATGAATCAGAGCTAATAGTTCACCTCATAACGTTTTTCTTAGGTTCTGGGGACAATGGTGTGAGAACCGCTGGGAAACTGATGTCAGTTCTTAAACTGTCTGGATTAGTATCTGTCACTGAGGTCAGTATTCAGTGTTGTTTTTTTTAAGTTGATTCAGTGTAGGACTGGGTGGTATAGATTAAAAATATATACTGATTTTTTTAGCCTTTTAAAATTATTATTATTATTGTTTATTTATTATTGTAATACCAGTTAATAATACTGATAATTGTAATCCTTTTTTAAAAAGTCATTATTATTCCACATTATTATTAATATAGTATTTATAAAAA